GGAGGAGCAGCGGCTCTTCTCTGATTCCTCCCCGGAAACACCAAGATTTTTTTATTTATTATCTGAAAATCAGTTTAATCCTAGTGACTTTTAGATTTTTGCTTCTATATTTAGTAATTGCAGCATTTTTTGTTTGTTTTTCTAAAGCATTTGTTGTTTTTTTTTATGTGTTTTTACCTGTTTCAAACTTCAAACATGTTTGCAGCCCATTTCATGTTTGCTCTAAGTTTTCAGCTGTTCGTAGCTCATATCTTTTTTGTTTTTGCTTGGCACACACGTTTTTGCAGCTCGTTTTGTCGTGTACTGAATGTTTGCAGCTGTCGGCCACCATTGTATAAAAACATTTATCACCAGTGTTTGGCTGCTCCAGCGTTGTCCTACTTACCTTTGCAGCTTTTTACATTTAAAACAGCTTTGAGAACAAGACACTATTTACCACCATGTTATACTTCTATGTATACTTGATAAGTATTTTAATCTTTATGAACTACCTTTGCCGAACAGTCGTTATTTCATCAAACTGCTAAAGGGTCCTTTTAAACTCCTTTTAGTTGCTTTTTTATGCAGATATTGCTGCCATTAACCCAGTGTTGGTTTTTAATAGATTTTAACGGTGTGAATTGCTTCGGAAGTAACTGCTAATACACTTTCATATTTACTTGTTTATCTGAGTAAAAACCTTTAGCAGTGTAAAATACTTGTGCATTCTGAAAAAGTTTAAAAAACAATCCACTGGACTTTGTTTCCAAGGTTTGAAGACGTTTCGCTTCCCCTCTAGGAAGCTTTCTCAATTCAAAATGTCAAAATGAGGTGAATCCAGACATTTTGAATTGAGAAAGCTTCCTGGATGGGAAGCGAAACGTCTTCAAACCTTGGAAACAAAGTCCAGTGGATTGTTTTTTTTTAAACTTTTTCAGAATGACTATGACCTGGATGACTGAGAATCTTCACCAGCATGTGATGTTTTAGGACCAGATGGAAAATGGCAAGACTTAGCATTTTGCATTGTAGGCTTACAGATTGAACCATTGCTTTGATACAAACAGGATTATGGACATGTTAAAAATTTGAAGCAGAAGAAAAGGAGGTTGTTTTTGCTCATTTTCAACTTTGTATTGAATGAAAATGTATTTGATAATTATATCTAATGCTACATTAACTACAATCATCTGTGAGCGTCAGCAGATTTCACATTTATACCCCATCCCCCCCCCAGGAGGAATACTATGGGAAGCAGCTGATCCTGGCAGACAGGGACATGGTGGAACAGGGAGCTGATGAGATCCTGAAGGACGCAGATGTCACAGATGTAGCCTTCCTGGTGGTGGGCGACCCATTTGGGTAAGTCACATTATCCACGGAATCAGGACCACGGAACCAGAATCCTCCATCGGTCCGACAGATCTGAGGTCTGCTGCGTCAGGATGGAGAAGCTGTGACCGCAGAGTTGATCTCACAGCTGCTCCGGCCCCCATTTCTACGCATTTCTCCCCAAAAACCACCAGATTCCTCAGAGTTAATAACAGAGTGGTGAGCAGTTTGCCTGCAGTGCTCTGCTCAGAAACCCTGACTGCTTTTAGAAGTTATATGAAACGTTTATTTGCATCTGAACATTACTCTGTAATTCAGCTCTTTCATGATTTTCTTTGCTCAGTTCTCAGAAGACCAAACAAAAACTTTACATTTCTGACCATGGATAGTTCCAATAATAAACTTCAGCGTTTTCTCTTTCCAGAGCTACCACTCACAGCGACCTTGTTCTCAGGGCAGTGAATGCTGGGATCCCCTACAAAGTCATCCATAACGCCTCCATCATGAACGCCGTAGGCTGCTGCGGTCTGCAGGTGACTTTATTTCTTCTGAATAGCAAATGTCGTGGAAGTCCGCCTCCAGGGCGTTAACCATACCTGGAAGAATCAAGGTTTAAACCTAAGAGAAAGAGTTCAGGGTTTTAGTCGTGATTATTGCCATCTTAATGCAAGTGGCCCCCTGGGAGCCACAAGGTTAAGATATCCCATCTGCCGCAGGTCCTGATTAAACTCATTAAACTGTATTAGTGTTATACCACCAAAAGCATCAAATTAATGTAACATCATCAATAGCTGAGCTGTCAAAGCGGCCAATCAGAGAGCAGGACCCAGCTGTCACAGCACGCACATAAACCCAGATTTAATGCTGACACGGTGTCTCCACTGAGATGTTGTTAATATGTTAATGAAGGGCTGAAGATGCTAATGAGCTCTGGTTTCCATCCACTGGGACTGGGTTCAGTCGGCCCCTGCTGCAAGAGCAAAGCCCCTTCATCAGGACCCCTTCAGGATTCAGCTTCTGGACAAAGCTGCAGCAGCAGCTAAAGTCACGGTCATGATACAGAGAATTAGGGATTCTGCTCCTGCTGGAGGGCTATACTGATCCGAGTCATTTCATTGCACAAGGAGCTGCTCATAAACCAGAAGACTTTCTCCTCTTTAATTTTTTTTAGCTGTATAACTTCGGAGAGACGGTTTCTGTGGTGTTTTGGACAGAAACATGGAAACCTGAGAGTTTCTATGACAAGATCTGCAAAAACAGAGCGGCTGGACTGCACACGCTCTGCCTTTTAGGTGAGAATCGCACTCGCATAAAACCAGAAAACAAAAGTTTAATAGTTACAAATTCTAAAAACTGTGATAATCCATATCAAACTGAATCATCTAGATGAACTTTGCCTCCCTTAGTGTGTTTAGGGAGTCCCCAGGTGTCACTGTCAATCAGTCGGGGCCCCCGAAGGCTCCTAACCCCTTAAAATAACAGTCTGCTGGGAGGTAAATGGCCTGCTGCTGTCTGTGTCATTAATATTCATTAGAAGAAATAAAGGAAAAAGGTAATAAAGAGTCAGACGCTCATCCATCATCTCTACATAAATCATGAATGTCAGGTTGTTTTGTTGCAGACACAAAGCACAACAGCAAATTCTTGCTGGTAGATGTATAGAGAACAAGGGAAGGTTAAAGGACATTATTACAACGTAAGGATACAGCAGTAAATATAGAAAAGCAGTCAGCTAAGCCACTATGTACAGAAGTCTTGGTCCAATTTTTATTGATATTTAGGGGAGTGTTGGGCTAGTGGTTAGAGGAGGGCACTTGTGCTCTGAGAAGGTTGCAAGTACCTGGGTTGATACCCACACCCTCCACTCTGGGTTCCTGAGCAAAACCCTTAACCACACACTGCTCCCCGGGCGCCACACAATGGCAGCCTACTGCTCCCTAAGGGGATGGGTCAAATGCAGAGGTAAATTTCTCCAATGTGAGATCAATAAAGTGCAATTATTATTAAAGGTATAGTGGAGGATGTTCTTTTTCCTGCTGGATCATCAAAATAAGTGGTCCTTCTAATTGTCAATCATACATGTGATATGTTTACATATGGCCGTCCTATGTGCTTGTCCCCATTTTCACTTACTGGTGGTGAATCTGACATGGCGGAAACATTGCAAATCTTTTGGAAAGTAAACTTGTATGAGCGATGCAAACAGCAACATTTAAACGGAGCATGCATGCTCTCACACGGGTTTCATAAGCATTCCCTCTCAGGAACAGGTAGAGGGATGTGCATATGCATTTTTTTTTTAAAGTGGCAAGGGTAGGTCTTTTCTAAAATTTGCGAAATTCCTCCACCATACCTTCAAGTTCTCAGTAGGAATATGGTCTTTATCAGAGGTCTTCCAGGTTTCCTAATATTTATCTTTTGACGTGTGCCATTTCACTGTCAAGTCCTACTGTTTAAAAATCTCTGCATGTTTTGTTGAGTCTGCATAAAAAGGTGATCAAGCTGAAAACAAAATAAGAATTAAGAGAAACATCTAAAGCCTTTGATGACTAATTGTGCTTTTAAGAAAAAGCAGAGAGAATGAGATGCATGATCCTTTATACTACAGTACGTAGGTATAAGTTTGTCTACATTTTTCTTGTTTTATTTTACAGATATTAAAGTCAAAGAGCAGAGCATTGAGAACATGATGAGGTAAGGTTCACATCATCCTCTGTTTCAGTTTGAAGTGCCCTACTTGTCTCCGACCATCTCTGCTGATGGTGAACCCCAGCGAGTGCCAGGCCGCATTCTAAAGCAGAAACTCAAAAAAAAAAAAAATCAAAGCAGACCCACATAAAGCTGCTCATAATGATGTTCTCTCCACATAAATCAGATCCCATTCTGAACCATTTTCCTACCCTCTAACATTCACTGACCATATTCAGTCACCTCAGAGCTTCGCCATGTTTTAAATCCTGAGGTTTTCCACCAGAACAGAAAAAAGCCATAAAACCAGGAACGTGACCTAAAGCCTCAACAAAGTCAAACTAAACTAAATGGAAAAACTGAATAAGAACCATCCTTAACTTTAATCACCCTTTCAAATGTTGCTTCAGTGATTTGTTTTCTACAAAGTTGTCTTAAGCCTCCAACTAGGGGACTTGACCCGATCAACTCAGGTTGATGTATGGACTTTGACTACCGTAGACCATTACATCTGAGTCTTTTTTTTTTTTTTTGCCACACTGTTGGATTTGATGCCATTTGCACCAAACTTTGGGTGTTGGACAGGTTGACAACAACAGCAAAACGAAGGCCAAATCATCAACCCTCCACTACTATGCTTGATACTTGGCGATGTGTTGGTCTCATTGTGCTTTTTTGCAAACCTAAGCCCAGCTGCCATATTCTTAGTTTCTCCTTAAATCCATGCAAACACTCATCCATCTTTCCTCGACTCCTGTCTGGAAGTGTTGCATGCTAAAAGCTCTTAAGTCTGGCCTGAAACTTTAGAGGATTTTATCTTTTCTTTGAGACAAGTCTGATGTTTTGAGTTATTTTCTGGGATGATAATTTCAGAGAAGATGTCTAAATGTTTTCCACCTGTGAATAAAATCTCTGTTTGACTCTCCCAGACTGCAGCAGCAAGTGCATAAAAGTCCTGATAATGGCCTTAATCTTATAAAAGGAGCAACATTAACTTATTTTTTCTTTATTTTTCTAATGCAGGGCTGCCTAGGTCCAGTCCTGCAGAGCTACTGTGGGTTTTAACTTTTTGATGCATTCCTTCTTTAATAGACTCAGATGGTTGAATCTCGTCATTAGCAGTCAGTCATTCAGGCCTGGTAATCAGCCATTCATTAGATTCAGCTTGTTGGAGAATGGATGCATCTAAAAGCTGAAGGACAGAAGCTTTTTAAGGACTGTAGTAGGGCGCCCCTGGCTTTAAGGGACCACTTTGTCAGTGTTGTACCGATTTCCATTTTCAGAGGGAAGAAGATCTATGAGCCTCCTCGCTTCATGACCGTCAGTCAGGCGGCAGATCAGCTGATTCAGATCATCCAGAGGAGGAGGGAGGAAGGGGAGGAGCTGGGTGAGTTGAACTTGATCTGCTTTATTGATTGATCCCCCAGTGGGCTTTTCCACATCAATGTTTCAGCCTTACTGGTATCAACTTGTTACATAATGGAGAAACTAAAACCCTGGTAAATTAAATAAACTAATATTTCCTAAGGTTGTAGATAAAACCTGTTTAAATAAAACTAAAATGTCATTTACATTGAAAGATCTGTTTATTTCAACATTAAAGTCACATTTTGTTTCTGGAGAACCAACATAACTTCCATTTTCCTGCTCAATGTTTCTGTCCACTCCGTCTGTCCAGGTGTAACGGAGGACACTGTGTGCGTTGGTTTGGCCCGGCTCGGCGCTGATGACCAGACGATCCGATCGGGGACGCTGCGTCAGCTGGCTTCATGCGACCTGGGCGGGCCGCTCCATTCGTTGGTGGTCACCGCCAGACTCCATCCCCTTGAGGTAGACATGCTCCGAGTAAACTCTGAGCCAGACGCGCTAAAACACCTGCGCATGATCGACAGCTCCACGTACACATCCTAATCATTCTACCTGCCAGGAATCCTCCTGAGGATGGACCCAAACTCCTTTAAAGCAGAATGATCTGTACTGTAAATCTAACATGGACTCAACCTGCAGCTGTTCTGAAAAAAAATCAATAAAGATAAAAATCGATAACTGAGGAACTGATTTATTACATTTTTAAAAAAATCCCACTAACAGGTCACATGATTTGGTCACAAGGTTTGGCACGGTAAAAAAAAAAAAAAATCATAAAAATAACGTAAGTGGTGACATTACACTGAACCAATCAGCAGATACCACTTGTGATGTCACCAATAGTGGGAGGGGCTCAGATTGTCTCTGATGAAGGCACTTACCCAGAATACTTTGCTGTAAACAAAGTTTAGAGCAGGAGGAGCGAGGAGAATAAGTCACCCACCGAACCCGAACAGGTCCAATTAGTAATTATAAAACAGAGAACACGGGCGCAGCTGTTTGAGTCCTTCAGTTCTTTGCGCACCCAGTGCCCCTTACTGCATGGAGGGGGTTAAAGGTCACCCGGAAGCAGGTGACTGAATGTGACTGGTCCCCGGGTTGGAGGAGAAGCTTCTACATGGCGGCGATTTCGATCTGAACGTACAGCTGGCGGACTCCGACCTGCAGAGAAACGACAGAGGCTGAAATGACAGCAGTTCACGCCTTACAGGAACCAATTCCGCTTCACACAGATCACAGATAAATAATTCATGGTTCACCACCTAAAACCAGTTCACTGAAAGTCTCCATCTCTACAGTTTTCTCCACCAAAGGAGCTAATGTTGGTTTGCAAGATGTCTGAAGCAGCTATGGATGGATTGTTCTGTGATTTTTACCACAGGAGTCTCTTAGCCCGACACTAAACCCATTAAATTGATGATCAGGATTGCGGTTGGGATTTAGGAATTAAAAAAATTAAAATATTCTGAGACAGGAAAAGCTGATGTCTGTGCTCTCCCAGTGCTCTCTAGTTTATAATGGTTTTTAAGTGAGCTTCTGTTGAGAGGCCATTAGCAGCAAATATCTTTAATGCAGCCGATAAAAGTTCCAATCATCACAGATTAGATTAGAAGGAAGCTAAAAGTGAAGCACCTTCCTGCTCAATCAGCTTCAGTCTTAGAAATGTTACTTCAGCTACAACAACAAAAGCTTTTTATTTAATTTTGAGCATAATCCGGCATCTTTCTAGGAATACGGTCAAAAAGGTTTCTGCAGCCGCTCTTGCTCCAGGAAAAGAATTTCCATTCTTAGCTCAAAGAGCTAAAATGCCATTTCTTAGACTGTAAGTGAAGCTGTTTAGCCAACTGTAGAGGAGGAGCAATGGAGACTGAAGCTGAACAACAGAGCCATGAACTGGGCTCATACTAGAAATGAATAGCTTTATAAAACTAGTAATTATACATTTTTATTATTTTTCATGTGAATTTGACGCAGAACTGCGATAAAGTGAAATAATAACATGATCATCTTTTGAGGGAAATAAAGGAACCAGTTTTTTTTTTTTTATTCTCCAAAGAAACCAAGCAGGTTTCCTCAGAGCAGAGCGCCCCGTTTTAGATGTTGGCGTCAGCAGGAACCTGCGTTCAGGTACCTGAGTGAAGATGTTGTGCGTCTGGCTGAGGATCCAGCGTGTGTCGGCGTCAGGCGCCACCAACAGCTTTAAAGTTCCAATATAAACGTCCGTACAAAGAGTCCAGAAGTGTGGTTCCTGAAGGTTGTAGACCCCCTGCAGCTGCTGCACCTGAAACAACACATCAAACCAGCAATTAGACACACCCATGGTACAGGTTATCAGCTTTATATGTACAGGGTGGGGTCTGAGGTTGGCACCAACCCTCTGGTAGCACTCTGGCAGGGCGTTGTCTAGTGATGGTGGAGTTCTCTGCATCAAGATACCGATGGACTCCTTCAGCAGCGGCACCACACTGAGGGTCAGAGGTCACAAAGTTTTAACACGTCACAGTGATACAAAAGAACAGCTGCTCATTAAAACCAAGATGGTCCTGTAGAACTTCAGAGATGATTCTGAAACAGATCCACACAGGGTCTCCAGGCTTTTAGCCGTAGCTCTGTCTGAGTTTTCTCACATCTGTAGGCGTTTAACTCGACCCGAGCTGCACGGTGACTCCAACTTTCCAGCTGTCGAAACCCGATCTCTGTGGTCAGGTGAAGGCCTCTCAGCTGACCACAGCTCTGCTCAGCACAGTCCTGAAATATGCAGCTCTGCACGCTTCCAGCGATCAAACTACATCAGCGCGCAGCCAGTCGATTTATCGCCGCGGCTTCAGAGAAACCTGACCGCTGCGTCTGCATCCAGGAGACCCGAGGAGCCCAGACCAGACTCCAGGACAGTTTCCAGGAGGGCTGGAGGCCCATTAAGAACAAACTGAACATTCTTTACATCAGTGGAAACCAGTTTCCATGGCAGCCATCAGGCTTTAGATTGATTTTCATCCTTTCGGGTCATTCCCTGAGTGGAGTGTGTCTACAGAGCTGAAAGCTGAGAGAAAAATCCATCGGTCTGTTTATCCATCTAGAGTTTAGACTAAAGTTTGCAGAGAATGTCAACTATTGAAATTACAACTCTCCATGTCTGAGACTCATTAAACCTGCAGCAGTATCAGCAGTTTGTTTTAACAGCAGCTGATATTCCCTGAGGTTTCCATCTTTGTTCAACAGGACCTGTTAAGTTTTCTAGAATAAACTAATGTTTCAAGTAGATATAAGACCAGGTTTAAGTGCTCATATAGTTACATTACATTTCCAAGGCCCTGAAGATCTCATCTTGTGTTACATTGGAAGTAAATTCTCATGTTAAAACTTCCCTTTAAATCCTACAATTAGAAGTAAAAATCTGATTTAAAAAGTTAAAGCAAATAAACTATGGCAGATATATTTTTCATTAAAGATCATAGCATTAGCAGCTCTTTAAACAGATTTTTGTTCCTGGCCTGATGCCAATCGTTACTCTACAATGTTTTGGTTTTTTTTTTAGATTAAGAAGGCTTTGGGCTTGTTTTGTTTTTTTGTTTTTTTTGTATGTTTAATCAAAGAATTGGAAACAGTCCGTCCTCCAAACAGCTTTGAGGTCATTAAACAGACATTAGGACCTTATCTTCTAGGATTTTAAGGAACAAGGGCTAATTGGGCAAAAAGAATTTCATACTTGTAATACATGTTTCTCTTGCAGGAGACCTAAGAGATCCACGTTATAAAAATGAGCAGACAGAAGGTTGTGCTGGCACTTTGAAAGTGGCTGGACATGAAAGATGATTTTCTAAGCCATGTAGATGGAGAAATAATGCACATTTTTTCAAAGAATAATAAAAACTAAATTCAGATGTTATATAAGCATGAGCTTCAGAAAATGTATGCAAGCATGTTTTTCCGTCATCTGCTTCCAGGATCTAGAAACTCTATACTTTTCTGGACTCTGAATCGAGGCAGGAGGTGCTGATAGTTCCTCCAAATCCCTCTGAGGCTTCGAGGAACTTCAAGCAGGCATTAAAAGCAAATTAAAGCAGCAGCTTTCTTCCAGAGCAGGAAGTGATCTCACCCCATTGTTCCCCTCCCTTAACCTCAGCACAGCTCAGCACCCATACACAGCTGGACTCTAGCAGCCTTTAGACCAGCCGGTCGGTTGACTACTGAAGCAAAGGGCTCACACAGTAGAGACACAGCTGTGGTGTCGGCTGGCCACAGGGCGGCTCAGAGGCCCCGCCCACGTGTCAACCCTGCTAGAGGCTGTAGTTACAGCTGTCAGTTATCGGGGCGGAAGCCAAGAGAGCAGCCTTGATATACTGGACTATCTGACAAGCTGTCGGTATTTCTTTAGAGGAGCCACCATCATCTGACTGTTCAGTGAGTTTTTACCTGACTCCGATGAGGAGGGCGATCAGCATGGAGCAGATAGGATCAGCGATCATCAGATCGTATTTCTGCATCAGGAGAGCGGAGATGATCACACCGACACTTCCCAGAGTGTCTGCGATGATGTGAAGGAGGACTCCTGAAAACCAAACATCACAGACATTTGAATCAATTTGTTTTCTGTCTGAATAAATCTGCAAATGGATTTTTTTTTTTGCGTTAAATTTATAATTTCAGTACATATTCACCCCAAATGGTATCATATTTGTAAACATGTGACACACATAAAAATCTCAAACACAAATTGGCCTACAGCAGCATGTGAATGTGTTTATTAATGAATGAAACAAAAAAGATGTGCTATATAAAAACAGGGCATTTACCATTTAAACCATGGTTGGTGCAAAACTAGTTAAATGTTTTTTTATATATTTTTATTTCTCCTCTTATTTATAGCAACTGTTAATTATTGATTAACAGTTTAAGTCCAATATTTTAAAATTCTCTTTCCAGACAAGAATGTTTTTTTTTCTGCTTACAAAAAAGAAGCTATGTAACTTTTACTTAGTTATTTTGCTTCTGTAATTTTAAAATGTATTTAAGAATAAATATACTGCAGTTTTTCTTGATTTTTTTTTTTTTTTTATCTTCATGCATGAAAATGCTTACGCATGTTTATTTCCCCACTGAGGAACAATAAGTAATATTTGTATTCTTCTCATCTTTGATAGCAGAACACATGTGCAGCTTCTCAGTTGAAACCCCTTTAGATTATTTACCAGAATATTTTTTTTTTTTGGTTTGTAAAGATTTATTTCTAGCATTGAAATATCTATTTATGAAACATATCAGGCAAACATCAAATCTCTGCTTAAACTCAGAATTCCAGTCAGTTGTGCACAACAGCTACATTAAGGAGGATGCCTAGAGGAACGACACTGCCCCCTGGTGGATTTGAGTTCTAGGTTCTGAGAGGATCCCATTCAACCAGTTTGATTTAAGGTCAGATTCCAGTCAGAGATGCTTTACCTGAAAACTTTCCTTATATCTCGGATCATTTAACCATAAATACACATATACAACAAACAGCAGAACCTATCTGATGTTCTCTTCAGCTCATCCCACAGCTTTTTTTTTTATAGTCTGAGGGACCCTGATGTCCAGGAGGGTTGATTTTTTAATCTTTTTTTAATGTTTTCC